AATGCCTTCTAGAAGGAAAAAAAACAGCATAGCATTGTTTATATGGTGCTTAAGTTTGGGAGCTCTTGGCTGCTTGGACATTTGAAGTCATACTTGTGAAAGGAAAAGAATGTTAAAACTCACATTCATAAGTGGATGTGACTCTCCTGAATTTAAGCATATACTGGAAAGTAGTTTGCCCATTATGCTATATTCTGATTTAATTGTTTTGATTTAAAAATCTTAAAAATGCACAGAGAACTTCAGATATGTAGGAGAAAGTTATGTAGAATTGTGATACCTATTTTAATTATTGTTACTATTATGACTAATGTCAGCAAAAAACGTAATGGCTCCAGCGTGGTTGGCAGCTGTCCTGAAAATGTTGTCACGGTGCCATTCTGTTACCTGATTTAATTAAACCGGCTTCCACTTGAGATAGGAGCACACTTGGCAGAATTTATAATTCGCTGGACAACTGCAGACTTAAAAGTTTTGGTTCTCACACTAGCTTTTAGGAATCCAAGTTATTTTATGGATGGCGAACAGAAAAGCTCCTAAAAAGACTCAAAATGCATGGTAGGCATTAAATTGCTTTTTAAATTCAATCTTCTGATAGGTATAAATGAACTCAGTCTAAGAGATTGAATTACCTTAAAAACCATGTATAAGGGCTCAACACATTCGGAAAAGTACCTGGAAAAAATTTATCTTGTTGAATGCTAAAATTCTTTAAAGAAAATATTCGAAACATCATTCAGTAGAGCAAATTAGGAATGTATCAGATATGTCGGTTTACAGGGAGCACTCTACTAGCACAGGCATCTCATATTCTTAGTAAATTCAATTAAGAATTTTACTGATTGTATCATAGGTTTGCTTTGACTGGGAATATCCTGAACTGCTAACTAAATTCCCATTTTATCCTTGCTCCTCCTGCCAGCTGGGATGCCAGCATGGGCATCCTTCAGTGGACTTCACTCTGTGCCAGGGAATTTGTTCATACTACTTTTGAAAAACAAGTATTCTTAACAACAACAACAACAACAAAATTATGAACTGGGGAATAAACCTCTTCCAAAGTGGCACAATCTGGCACAAAGGCAAGTTTTTAATTTATAAACATTGTTTCAGCCCAGGTGCAGTGGTTTACCACTGTAATCCCAACACTGGGGAGGCCGGGGTGGGAGGATTGCTTGAACCAGAAGTTTGAGACCAGCCTGGGCAACATGGAGAAACCCCATCTCAAAAAAAAAAAAAAAACTCAAAAATTAGCCAGGTGTGGTGGTAAGCACCTGTGATCTCAGCTACTAGGGAGGCTGAGGTGGGAAGATTGCTTGAGCCTTGGGAGGTTGAGGTTGCAGTCAGCCAAGATCGTGCCACTGCACTCTAGCTTAGGTGACAGAACAAGACCCTAAAGAAAGAAAGGAAAAAAAAAAGATTATTTTAGTTGGTACCTTCCAGCAGAGTCTTTTAATTGTGGTTCAGAAGACTTTAGAAACCATCCTGAACAGCTTGTCTTCTGTCCAAGGGTGAGAAAATGAAAAGCACAAATAACTACAGAAATAGCCTGAAAAGAGACCAGTACAATCAAATAATGGGAAGAGGGCAAGAAGATGTAAATAATGGGGAAAAAATATTCCAGAGGGAAATAGATACTAAGCAATCTAAAGCTGATTAAAGATTTTTTTTTGGAGACAGAGCCTTGCTTTGTTTCCCAGGCTGGAGTGCAGTGGTGCGATCTCAGCTCACTGCAACCTCTGCCTCCTGGGTTCAAGCGATTCCCTGCCTCATCCTCCTGAGTAGCTGGGACTACAAGCACCCACCCCTACGCCCAGCTAATTTTTGTATTTTAGTAGAGACGGGGTTTCACCACCTTGGCCAGGCTGGTCTTGAACTCCTCACCTTGTGATCCACCTGCCTGTACCTCCCAAAGTGCTGGAAAAGATGATTATATTTTAATGAGCTACCTTTGCTATTTTGGAAATAAGAACCTGAGGCAGTAAGTAACTTCTTTATTATGAATATTTCTCCTTCCTTCCTTCCCTCCCCTCCCCTCCTAATTTTTATATTTTTAGTAGAGATGGGGTTTCACCTTCTTAGCCAGGTTTGAATGCCGCCCAACACAAATTTGTAAACTTTCTTAAAACATTGAGATTTTTTTGCGATTTTTTTTAAGCTCATCAACTATCATTGGTGTTAGTGTATTTTGTATTAACCCAAGACAATTCTTCTTCCAGTGTGGCCCAACGAAGCCAAAAATATTGGACATCCCTGGCATACAGAGTAACATAATAGACTGCAGAGACTCAGAAAGGGAAGGATAGGATGGGTAGGGAGGGCAGGGATGAAACACTACACGTTAGATGCAGTCTACTCAGGTGATGGGTACCTTAAGATCTCAGAATTCACCAGTATACAATTCATCCACGAAACAAAAAACTACCTTTACCGACAAGCTATTGAAATAAAAATTTAAAAGTAAATATTCAAAGCTAAAAAAATAGATGCATTTATTAACTTCATGAAAATGAAAATGAAGTTTTAAAGAATGTGCAAGCCCCCTACAGTGATCTACAGAAGCCTTTCCACCGTCCTCCCTGGTTCACTGGGTGTGGCCACATTGATCCCCTTTCTATTTTCAGAAGCTGAGGGCCTTTGCATTTGCTTTTCATCTGTCTGCAGCGTTTCGTCTCAGTTGTATATGTGGCTTGTTCATGTGCTTACTTCAGAGCTCTGCTCAAATGTGAATTTCTGTCACCTCTCAGTATTCTTTACTTTTCATCATGACGCTCAATATCACCTGGCATTGTATTGTTTCTCTCTCTGACGAGACCTTGTCATCTTTGCATCTGCATCATGTACCCCTCAAAAAGAGCCTTTACTACATACAGTAGGGGATCAATAAATACGTATTAAATGAACTAATAGGACAAAGATACACAAATACATAAACACATTCTCTGAAGAGGAAACACAAGTGGGTAACAATTATTGTCTCACAAGTTATAAGGGAAATGCAAATTAAGGCAATGAAATAGTATTTTTTTCATCAAATTTGCAAGAAATAAAAACAAATAATGATATTATTGGAAAGGGTAGAAAAGTAAATTGATATGGTCTTTTGCAAGGCAGTTGTTTTTGTATGTTTGTTTATTTTTGAGACAGTCTTTCGGTCTTGCTCTGTCTCCCAGGCAGGAGTGCAGTGGTGTGAACACAGCTCACTGCAGCCTCGACCTCTTGGACTCAAGCAAGGGGTTCCCTTGGGGCTCCCACCTCAGTGCCCCGAGTAGCTGCAACTGCAGGTGGAAGCCACCACACCCGGCTAATTTTTGTATTTTTTGTAGAGATGGGGTTTCTCCATGTTGCCAGGGCTGGTTTTGAACTTCTGGGCTCAAGTGATCTGTCTGCCTCAGCCTCCCAAAGTGCTGGGACTTCACGAGTGAGCCACCACCCCCGACCTTGGAAGGCAATTTAATATGCAAGTACTCATACATGGACACAGACAGGCATATGCAAGGGTACTGCTGCAGCCCTGTTGCAATAGTGACAAATCAGAAGCAGCCTCAGTGCCTACTGATAGTGGCATTGTTAATTACAGAATACATGTATGCTTTAATACTAGGCGGCAGGTTTTTAAGAATGAGGGACAGCTAATATGCTCTATATTGTGGTGCCATTTGTGTTTCACAAAACGCAAGACTAAATTTCTGTATTTATAATTACATATGAAAATACCTAGAAAAACGTTGAATAGCCTCCACGCAGAACTTTCATTTTATTTATCATTCACTGGACATGGATTTGTTGAGCATGTGCTGTGTGAAAAGAATTATCCAAATGCTAGGGATAGAGTCGTAGGTAAAGTAGGAGAAGCTGCCTGCCATCATAGAGCTTCTGCCCTCATAGGAGGAAGCGAACCATGAGTGCTGCAAGGGAACACTATATAGGTCAGGTGGTGAAAGGTACCAGGAAGAGAGGTAAAGCATGGGTAGGAAGGCACTTGAAGCTCCAGTGTCCAGTGGCGATTTCTGCACATCCTGTAAATGTACACTGTCCAGTACTGTAGCTGCCAGCCACCTACAGCTGTTAAGTACCTGAAATGTGACGAGTGCAGCTGAGGAGCTGGATTTTAAATTTTATTTCATTTTAATTCATTTACATCTAAATTGCCACACAGGGTAGACAGTATAATGACATGGGATGATCAGAGACGACTTCACTTAACAAAGGGACATTTGAGCTGCAACCAGAGAGCTAGTCATGTATTTCAGGCAGAGTGAACAGCAGGACCTTATTTGGGGCAGTCAGAGGCAGAAAAGACAAAAAGGTAAGAGTGGAAGGAGATGAAGCCAGTGAAACAGATGGGGACCCACTATGGAAGGCCTTACTGGCTAGGGAAAGACATTGCTTATTCTCTACATGAGGCAGGAAGCCACTGCAAAGCTTTGAGCAGACAGGTGTTGTGATCTGAGTTTTTGAAGGAGTGCTGGAACTGTTCTGATGATAAACCATAGAAGTGAGTGCAGAGGCAAGAAGTCCAGAGGCTACTCCATCACTCAGGCTGGAGGTAGTGGTGGGTTGCTCTGCACACTTAGGAGGGCGGTGACGGAGGTGTTCCGAAGAGGTCAGATGTGTTGCTAGTATTCAGATAGATCAGATGAGAGGCCTGAGAGAAACAGAGGAGTCAGGATTTGGGCCTGAGCAAACGAGACAGCACTGGGGAAAGGGAACACTGGGAGGAGAATTCAGGAGTTGTGCTTTGGGCATATTAAGTGCCTGCGGATATAAAGAACAAAGTCCTGGCCATGAGTGACACCGAAACAGCAATGGCAGCTAAAGGATTTCTTACTAAAGAACTGGATAAAAGAGAAGTGTTCATTGATGGTGTTAGAGTCATTCTCTTTGTTTAGAGGCAAAACAGGTGATGTGTTGTTGACCTTTTTAGGATGAAGGTTTTATATGTCCTCAATTATGCGTGGTTCTTAGATTTGGGTGATTATTTCTTATTTCTTCCTTAGAATGGCTCCCGAACGAGTGGCATCCCTGTCACGAGTTTGTGTCCCACTTATTACCCTGCCAGATGTCGACCCCCTGGTGGAGGCTTTGCTCGTCTGTCACGGACATGAACCTCAGGAAATCCTCCAGCAAGAGTTCTTTGAGGCTGTAAACGAGGCCGTTTTGCTGTAAGTGGTGTTCACGTCTCCTATCATCCTGTGTCGTTTTTCCTTTTCTTAGAAGGCCGTGGTGTGTTGGAAAGACTATGTGACAGCAGTTTCCAAACGTTTTTGTCTCAGTGCCCCATGTAACTCTTAAAAATTACTGGAAATCCCAAAGAGTTTTATTCTTTTATTTTTAACTTTTATTTTAGGGTTGGGGATACAGGTGAAGGTTTGTTACGTAGTAAACACATGTCATGGCGCTTCGTTGTACATATTATTTCATCACCCAGGTATTAAGCCTAGTTCCCAATAGTTACCTTTTTTGCTCCTCTCCCTCCTCCTACCCCTTCTCAGGTAGACCCAGCAATTATTGTTTCCTTCTTTGTGTTCATACATTCCCAAGAGTTTTTTAAAAGATCTGTTAAATACCTATTAATATTTGCCATATTTGAAACTAAAACAAATTTTTAAAAATATATTTCTTCATTTAAAAAATAAAAATAATTTGATTACATGTTAACACAAATAGTGTATTTTTATGAAAAAAATGCTCTTTTCAAAGCAAAAAAAAAAAAAAAAACAGTTTGACAAGAGCAGCATTGGTTTTACATTTTTGCAAGTCTCATTTTCTGCCCTAAGACTGCTGGATTCTCATATCTGCCTCTGGTGGGATGTGTTGTTTCGGTTGAAGTGTATGAAGAAAATCCAGCCCCACATACATGGTAGTTGGGAAAGGGTGGAGTATTCTAAAAGCCATCACAGATCACTGTGGATAATTCTGCTTTGATAGCTCACCAAAATTTGAAAATGGTCATTTTTTAAAGGTTAGTTGCAGTGTGGAATCTGAAATTATGTCAGTTAACTTTCTATACTCTATTACATTAAAACCCATTGGTCTGTCTTGCACTTGCAGTGGATCTTTTTTGCCTACGTATAATTTTGTAACATTATGCATGGTTCATGTGGAAGATCTTAGTTCATTGTATATTATGTATACATTATGTGTATCTTCCAAACATTGACATATTTCATATGCAGTATCAAAACCTACAGTCATTACTGTCACCACGGATCTCATCAGAAATGACTTTAAGTATTGGGAAGCTGTGAAGCTTATGTTGGTGGACTTAGATTTTCCAGGATTCTAATTTCTGCTTAAAAGCTAAAATTTATCATGGGCTACAAATACTGTCATTTTCCTTAGGGGACTGAGTCATTTTGCTAATTATTGAGAAAGTATGTGTCTAATCCCAAAGTGTGACTAACCACTGCTTATCTGCTAGTCATTCTTTCAAGTCAATTTTCATGACAAAAAGCAGTCAGGTGAGCCCCAGCTGGAAGAATTGTGCAGGTGTACAAGTGGAGTGCTTTTCTCCAGACAACCATCGTTTTTTGTTATGAAGCAGAAGAGCTTTATGCACACTTTCCTCTTCACCATATAGAATTCTTTTCTAAAAGTATCCTTGAGGGCAACAGTTTAATAAAATCAGTATGTTATACTGCTTCATCAAGCATTCGTATGTGAAAACGTGGTGTTTCGACTGTGTGTGTGTCTGTGTATGTGGTGGTGAAGAGTAGCATGAGGATTGTCTCTGCTCTGATTCCTGCTGAGATGCAGCTGTGTTACCCACTGTTGCTTTTGCACTATCAGTGCAAACGTCAACATGGTTGTTCAGGAAGAACCAGGAGATTCAAAATAGTGCTTCCCTACCACTTGTGTGTGTGGCCAACTTTCATATAAAAGATCTTCTGTGCTTGGTTGGAGCTGATAGCAGACAACTACAAGCAATACAGCAAGCCCAGAGATTCTATTATAAGGCAGAAGTGCAGTTCTGTTGGTGACATACTAATTTATCACATCTGCATTTACATTGTTTGTTTTTCTTTAGACTCTGAATGATTGATCTCAAACTGATGTGGCAATTAATTTGCACCATAAGAGTATTTAAAATATTGTTGCATAAGACACAATTAAATAAATCATTAACATCTGTAAAGGCAAGGGAAAAATAACTTTCCTCATATTTTTTTCTTTATTTACAGTTTAGCCCACTTTCTCTGGAGCAGATGTCTCCATCTTGTGAGTCAGAGAATTCTCTGATTTGTCAGTTTCATATTTTCTCGATGAAACATCGGTAGGATGAAAAATTGGATCTTTTAATCCTCATTTTTAAAGCCAATGATCCATTCTTAAATACAAGAAAATATATTATAAATAAATGTTACTTTCCAAATAAAATATTGTAAAATTCCAAAATAATAATATAAAATATATATTAGATATATAAGTAAAATATACACTATGTATATACAAAAATATATATATCTAATAAAATTATTTAAAATAACTTAGATGAAATTTAAAAATTAGAAAAGTTTTCAAAATTAAGAAATATATATTACTGCAAAACCCAACAAAGTATACTTATTTTTTCTTATGTTTCCGTGTAGCCCCAAGAGAAACTATGATAATTTTTAAAATAAATTTTTCTTTTAACACATCTCAATTCTTCCCTTCTTCCTTGGAAAGGATTCTTTGGACCCCACTTTGAAAATTACTGCATGACCTTATGACTACTGCTGTCTTTATGACTCCAAGTTAGGAGTTGCTCCGTCAGCAGTGTTTTAAAACACTGTAAATCTACTATGGTGGTATAATTTGCAGAGTCCCCTCAGTCTCAGATAATTAGATTCAAAGTGTTCACATTTCTGAATTCAAGGTTTACATGCAATGTGATTTTAAAATGATACTTACTGCTTATGAACCTCACATTTTATTAAGAATACTATGGTTTTAAAATCATTTTATTAATACTATTTATGTTTTCAATTCTTTTCTTTTGAGATAGGGTCTCACTCTGTCTCATAGGCTGGAGTACATTGGTGCAATCTTGGCTCCCTGCAACCTCAACCTCCCAGGCACAGCCTCCTGAGTAGCTGGGACCACAGGTGCAGGCCATCACACCTGGTTAATTTTTCATATTTTTGGTAGAGACGGAGTTTCACCATGTTGCCTAGGCTGGTCTTAAACTCCTGAGCTCAAGCAGCCTGCCTACCTTGGCTTCCTAAAATGTTGGGATTATAGGTGTCAGCTGCTGTGACTGGCCACCCAATTCTTTATTTAAATACTTTTAGGAGAATTGTTACATATATAGACCCTTCCTTGCTATACAGTGCATTTTAAAAAACAAAACTGCAATACCTTTATTGCATGTTAAAATTGACATTAGTTCCTTATCATCATCACATACCTAGTCAGGAATTAAATTATCCTGATTGTCTTACAATTTTTCTTCCAGTCGGTTTGTTAGAATCAGAGTTCAAATCTATACATTGCTTTTGGTTTATAGGTTCTTTTAATTCTCTTTCAATCCCTCTTTGGTTTTTGTTTTGAAATTACTTGTTGAAATGGTACGGTTTCTTTCCCCACTCTCAGGTGGTAGAGCATGTCCGCCCTCTTGAGTGTGATAAAGGGTGTGCGCCTCAGGAGCGCAGTCCTGTGGCCTTAGGTGGCTCCTTTGGTCACATTCTCAGTTCTCATGCAGTCAGGCCTGTTTTGTTACCTTCTGTTCTGCTTCTCTGGTCTCTTGCATGTGTATATGGCAGTATCACTGCTTTAGTGGTGGCATCAACTGTGTTCAATACAAAATAAGGCTCCTTCCCTTTGATTTCTCTTTACCAGGGTTGTTTTTAGTTTGTTTTGCTATCATTGCTTGTCTTATATTCCACGTAACTTTTAAAACCAATTTTTCTAGTTGCAGGGGAGACACCCAGTGTCATTTGGAGGAAGGACTCTTATAAGTGTATAGATTAATGAGAGAGCTGGCGTTTTGATGATGTTAAGGCTTTCTGTCCACCTGTTCGGAACACATATGTTTTTCCATTTGTTCAGCTTTTGTGATCTGAAGGGAGTATTGTATATACTTTTCACACATTGGACTTAAGCATTTCTTATTCCTAATGTTTTGTTTTATTTGTGTTTTGAATGTTTTCACTGTCGTAAATGGATCTTCTCCATCTTCAAATAGATTTTCATTATTTTGTTGCCTTTGGAAAACGGACAAGCTCAAAACCACTGATGTGATTACAGTTCAGTGTATTTCCTTTTTTTATATGTAAGTCTTAAAAATTAGGATACATATTTTAATTTCAGTTTGTAGGAAAGGTTGTAATCTGAGACTTTGTGAAAGTGAGATTTAAAAAGAGAAATAGAAGATTAAGCCGCTTGATGTTTCAAAAAATGGTTAAAAAAACAAAATGTCCTTTTTTCTACTTACTCTAAACCTTCTCTCAGAATTCACCCAATAAGTGGAGTGAGCTTCCTGAGAAGTCTGAGCATTATCTTTGGTTGATATTGAATAAAGGGTGCCGTGAATGTGCGGCACAGTGCTGGGATTCTTCCCTCACAGTGCCCCAATACCCACAACGGAGCACACGCTTCACGGCCCCACCGCTGACCACACCAGCTGGCATTTTCACTCTCTACAGTGATTTTTCAAAATATTTGCAAAGAATATTTAACTGGAATGCTCTTGCCTCTCACCGTGACAGCTCTCTTCTCGATTTCATCTAGGAATATATTTCACAGGAGATTATGGTTTCAGGTACCCCCATGTCCAACCTTACTCTTTCAGCAAGAGCTGAATTAAAGGGAATGTGGAGGAGAACACATCTGGTCCTCTGTGAAACCCCAAAAGCTGTTTCAGAAATCGCTGGCCAGGCGACGTGCTCAGAGAACAGTTACTCCTGCTCCAGCTCAGCACTCAGAGGGACGCCAAGGGCAGCGGCTCCCCAAGCAGGCCTGCACTCCCTTGCTTGTAATTTTGCTTGTGATAGCACGTTCTCCCTCAACAACTCATAAAATTTATTTAGTTTGGAAAGTTATTTCTGCTAACCCATAAGGGACAGACTGTCCAGAAGTGCTGGGTGGTCTTCAATGTGTCCAAATCCTGTGGCTTCAGCTCAGCAAGTTCCCCAAGCAGTGGCGTAAGAGCTGGAGCCTCTCCATGGACACTTTCCCGTAG